TATCCTACTAACTCTCATTAAAACTCTGGTAGTAGCATTTTGGATCAGCTGAAAACTTTTTAAATATTTTTTTGTGCACCCAGATAATAAACAATTGCAATAGTCCAACCTAGACATGATAAATGCATGGACTGGTTTTTCTGCATCAGTTTTGGACAAGATGTTTCTAATTTTAGTGATATTACACAGGTGGAGGAAACTGGTAACTGGTAACTTTGAGGTTCTGGTCAACTGGAGGCCAAATGCCATCCAAAGGAAGTGAAAGACTGCGACATTTATTCCTAAAATGCTAAGGGCCAAAAACCACAACGTCTGTCTTGTCTGAGATTAAAAGCAGAAAAATAAGTATCGTCCAGCAAAGTTAAGTCAGTTCATCTGGACAGTTTCTTTCTTCTTTTATTGTATGCAAAAAAGAAAAGAAACTGTCCAGATGACCTCACTTAAATTTGTTGGATTTGTTTTACCTGGATTATTCAGCATGTACTTTGATGAAGGATCATCCAGGTTTTTATGCCGTTAAGACATGTTTGAAATCTAAGTACCTGATTGGCTGAATCTGGATTCATGGACAAATACTGTATAACCGTGTATCATCAGCATAACAATGGAAATTTATACCATGCTGTTTAATAACTTTACCTAATGGAAGCATATATAAAGTAAAGAGTATTCATCCAAGCACTGAACCCTGATGAACTCCATGACTAACTTTTGTGTATGAAGAAGATTAATTTTTTTACATTTACATTTACCCACTGGAATCTATCAAATATGATTTAAACCAATTTAGAGCCATTCCTGTAATTTCAGTACCATATTCAAGTCTCTGCAGTAGAATATTATGATCAACTGTATCAAATGCAGCACTGAGGTCTAACAGGACCAGTGTAGACACCTGTCCATTGTCAGAGGCCATGAGAATATCATTAGTGACTTTTACTAGTGCTGTTTCTGTGCTATGATGAGCTCTAAACCCTGACTGAAACTCTTCAAACAGATTATTTCTGTTCAGATGTTCACGCAACTGACCTGCAACTATTTTCACTAGAATACACATATATATAGACAACTATGTTAGTGCATAGGTCTATAATTGGTCAAAATTCCTGAATCAAGATCAGGCTTTTAAGTAAAGGTTTAATTACAGCAACCTTAAAGTGTTGTGGTACGTAACCATTCATTAAAAACAAATTAAGCAGATCCAAGACATAGTTATTAGGTAAGGGAAATACCTCTTTAAATAGTCTGGTTGGGATAGGATCTAGCAGACATGTTAATGGTTTCGATGAAGCTATGACAATTCAGAGAGCTCTAAATGATAAAAACAGTCCAAACATAAATCAGGTTCTAGTGACATTGTTAAAGTTGTCTCATTCAACACAGAACCAGAGGCAATAGTAGGAAAGATGGTTTGAATTTGCTCTCTAATTGAAATCATATTATTTATAAAGAATCTCAGGAAGTCATCACTGTTTATAGTCGTAGGGATACATGGTTCGACAGAGATGGATTTTCATTAGTCTAGCAATTGTTTGTTACCTTTCAGCTGCTCCCCCCTTCAGGGGTCACCATAGCATGTGACGATTACAAGGTTTGATCCCCATTTGCAGGCTGACCATAGAGACCCAGAGGATAATAACAAATAATTTATTAATATCAGAACAAAAAGGCTGGTGAGGTAGCAAAACTTACATAAATCAGGAGGTGGTTGCAGAACATGGAGCAGACTTTTCAATTCAATTAAATAATTCAATAATTCTTACAGCTCTTTTCTGTAAAACAAAAATAGGATTTATAATTGTTTTACATGCTTTCCCCCAAACATAAATACAGTAAATTAAGTGTGGAACAATGATTGCGTTATACAACATATACAGAGCTTTTTCATTTAATAACTCCCTTATTTTGTACAGTACTGCAATAGATTTAGCTATTTTTGTTTTTACAGCATTTATGTGATTTTTCCATGTCAGCTTATCATTGATAACACCCAAAAACTTCACCTCACTAACTACAAATCTCAACACCCTCGACTCTAAATGGAACATCGACGGTTCTCTTTCTATTACAGAATATCATATACGTAGTTAGTTTTATCTAAGTTTAATGATAAATTATTAAGTTTAAAACAAGTTTGTATTTTTATAAATTCTGTCTGCATCAACTCCAACATCCGTTCTATATCTTTACCCAAGCAACAAAATGTGGTATCATCTGCAAACAGAACACATTTAAGGAGTCCTGACACATTTACCAAGTCATTCACATATAAAATAAATAACTTTGGTCCAAGTACAGAACCTTGAGGAACTCCACATGTGATATTACAGAGGTCAGATCTTACATCATTTATTTGTACAAACTGTTTCC